TTTCTTCATGGGTAGATTGGAGTTGCGTATCTTTGGCAAGAATATCAGTGAAGGTGAAGCTGGGTTCTTACTTATTCTAGCAAGGTTTGCATGTTTTCATTTTGTCCCATTACTGGTAGTGGTAACTTTGATCACTTGATTAAGGAGAGTCTTAGCTTTTTCATTGTAAATTTATTCTTTTGCCTCAGGTGGTACTTTGAGACTATGTAAATATTCCATTCCTCATCAGATTTTCCACTTTATTTTATCTTTGTTAGTATGAATTCATGATTCCCGTTTTAGTTAATGGGTCACAATTTGTTACTATCATCATTTATTCTGATGTTGAAATTGTGCAGATGTAGCCGTTGGAAGCTCCTCCTAAGCTGGTTCCCATGCCTATTTTTTTTCTTTATTGTGGTAAAAATAAATAAAAATTTACCATCTTAACCCCTTTTTCAGTGTACATTTCAATAGTGTAAGTCCTGTGGCCTTCTGACTCGTCTTTGTCATTCTTTGAACACTTACTTTTTGTCATAGAAAAAAGGTATAGATTCATCTTACGTATTTCTGTCTGAGCCTGAAGTCACATATTTTTCCATGGGTCCTAGTTGTTTCTAGAGGAGAATGATACTTAGAAGCTAAGATCTGGATACTACAAGTGCTCATTGTTGTTCCCAGACCCCTTCAGGGGCAGAGTTAGGGAGTATATGTACCATACACATTTACATCTATATTAATTTGTATGTTTTTATATTTTGAAAATAATAAATTTACACCAGTATCCAGTTCTACTCCAACACCACTGAATGTTTCCAGTTTTCTCCCTTTTCCTGTTTGGACCTCTTTTCTGAACGTGAAGAACCTGGTTCCTGTTGTATTTAATATATATTCACTTACTTGTTTGGGCCTCTGTTCTTAGTTGTTTAGAACCCCGTCTTCCCCACCAGTGTGAGTGCCCTCCTCACCTGACTTGGGCTATGGCATCCCCTATTAGGCTGCTGCTTTTGCAGTTCTCCACAGGGATGTTCTCTTCAGCACATTCAGACTGTCATCCCCTCCTGTCCTCATATACATGCCTGTTTACCCCTCTAGGACTCCCAGCAGCGTGCTTCAGGTTTTCTTCCCATGTGAATGTCCTGACCCTGCTACGTTCTAACACACTTCTCATTGAGCCATCCTTTGTGGGGATGCCCTCCTTACCCACTGGGGCTCTGACACCTTGCCCCAGGCTACCTCTTCCGCCCCAGGTACTTGTTTTCCATCTCATTTAGTCTGTGCTTAATCCTGCTCAACCCAGTCTGCAGATACCTACCTTGCTTGGCTTCACCTGATGGTGAAATTTTGAGCTGAATTGTTCAAGAAGGGGATGTATGAATAGGAATTAAAAACAAAACCAAAAAATCCAGGGATGCCTGGGTGGCTCAGTTGGAAGAACGTGTGACTCTTGATCTCAGGGGTTATGAGTTCAAGCTCCACACTGGGTGTAGAAATTACTTAAATAAATAAAACTTAAAAAAAAAAATGAGGGCACTTGAAGTAATAAGCACTGGGTGTTAAATGCGATTGATGAATCAGTGAATGCTACCTCTGAAACTAATAATACAGTATATGTTAATTAAATTAAATTTAAATAAAAATTTTTTCAACAATCTTGAAACACAGTTAAAAGTTTTGGTATTATTTGGTTGATTGACTTACCTTGGAAAACGAGGTGTTTTATTGATTAGTGAAAAGTCTTCTCCTATTGGTGTCAAATCTAAGACGTATTTAAAAATAACAAAAAGGAAAGACAAATGATTAATTTTTTTAAAAAGTCAAGAGGAATGGGGCTGAGGTATAAAGAAATAGCTGTGGAGTATTGAGAAATGGACACAGTAATGAAGGAGAAACTAACTGCACAGCGTTATGAGGCATTCAGTGAAAGGATGGGCTACATGTTTGCTTCATTTATGTCTGAAGGTATTACTGTTTTACAGTAGTTAATGTTTTTAATTTTAACTATAGTTCATCATGAAGAGGATGTATTTTATTGGTAATATTGAATAACAAAAGGTCATATATATACCAAGACAAAAGAATATGTAATCCTTTAAAAATAAGTCTTGAAGTCTTCAAGGACTAGTTTTTATTCTGGAAAATGAACTCATCCAGAGCTCTTCAATCTCTTACCATTCCAGCTAAGATGATGTTATAAATAAATACATGAAAATAAAGTTGTCATCCCCTCCTGTGTTCCCTAATTGTATCTGGGTGATTTTTTTTTTTTTTTTTTTTTTTTTTTGAGTCCCCCAGACTAGAAATGTCAGCATGGTCTTTAAACAGTCCTTTCCCCCTTGCTGCCTATTTCCAGTCATTTCCTCTTCCATCAGTTCTGACAGCTCGGATACCCTGCCACACACTCCTCCTCCCATTCTGCCATTACCTGGCTCAGGCCTTCATTACTTTTTATGTGGGTTTTTGTATCAGCCTCATTCCAATTCAGTAAACATTCTACAAGTGCCTTTTCTGCATCTTTGCCTTTGTTTTGACTGCAGCTCCTATGTTGGAAAGGTAGTTAAACTAAATGCTGCTAGATGCCGGGTCCAGAAGTGATAGGGAAAGAACTGCAATGAATTCATTGCTTGACTATCTGTGCATGTCCTAGGGATTGTTGTCGTGCTGAATTAGGGGTAGGAGAGGGCATTGGTGCCAAATCTTCCAGTCTTCTGAGAGAAGCTGGAAATGCATATTTTTATATGAAATCTTAGAATTTCTTCACTTCTATTCTAGGTACTTCCCCAACGAAAAGAGTGTCAACATTGCATTTTAATATGTGAAAGACTGAGAAGTCCTGCAGGAAACAAACTTGTTTAAGATTCTGGACTCCTTAGTTTGGCCTAAGGGGCTCTTTACCACCTGACTCCTGCCTGCCATTCACTGATGTTAGAAAGAATGTGCTATGGGGCACCTGGGTGGCTCAGTGGGTTAAAGCCTCTGCCTTCGGCTCAGGTCACGATCCCAGGGTCCTGGGAATGAGCCCCACATCAGGCTCTCTATTCAGCGGGGAGCCTGCTTCCTCCTCTCTCTCTGCCTGCCTCTCTGCCTACTTCTGATCTCTGTCTGTCAAATAAATAAATAAAAATCTTAAAAAAAAAAAAAGAAAGAAAGAAAGAATGTGCTAGGGATGCTTGGGCGGCTCAGTCTGCTAAGCAACTGCCTTCAGCTCAGGTCATGATGCCAGGGTCCTGGGATTGGGTCCATATCAGGCTCCTTGCTCAGCAGGGAGACTGCTTCTCCCTCCCTAAGATTTTAAGAAGAAAATCTTAAAAGGAAGACTATGCTGGATCTTCTCATTTCTGTGTTTAATTGGATTCTCTTACCTGTAATGCCTCCATGTTGTTGACCTCACCCCTCATTTGTTCATCTTTTGCTGGCTTTCCCATCTGCATTTTCATGACCATGTGTTGTACCTCTGTCATAAAGTAATTACCCAGTTTATATTGTTCATGTATTGGATCTTTTTTCATTAAACTAAGACCTTTTTAAAAAGATTTTTTAAACAATATTTACTTATTTGATAGAGACACAGTGAAAGAGGAAACCCAAGCAGGCCTCCCACTGAGCAGGGAGCCCAGTACGGGGCTCGATCCTGGTACCCTGGGATCATGACCTGAGCTGAAGGCAGATGCTTAACGACTGAGCCACCCAGGCACCCCAAACTAGGACCTTCTTGATGATAAAGACCTATGTTCATACTATACCATGCACTTGGTAAAATGCCTAATGGTTGTAGAGTAGGCGCTTAATGACAGAATGAGTGGTTGAGCCACTGAATGAAGGCAGTTTGGAACTTGACCTCGTGTGATGGAAAAACATGAGTATTCTAAATGGTGTTCATATCCATTTTATATATATTTTCTGGTTCAAGTTTCTAGGGGCATGTTTTGTACTTTATTCTTTTGTTCATATGATACTTATGGCCCTTGATTGCTTGAGGAAAAAAAGTTCATGCTCTGTACTATGATATTCAAGATAGCCCATGGTCTAGCTTCAGTTCTCCATCTTGGTTTATCTCCCACTATTCCTTAGTGTGTATTCTTCCAGCCAAATGTGACTACATTTCATGATCAGACTCTTTCTGGCTTTGCTCAGCTGATACTTCAGATATTCCTGTCTCAACCTATTGAAATACTGGTACCCTTCAAGACTTAGCTCAGGTTTTTTTTCTCAACTCTTAAAATGGAAGAAATGGTGTCCTATATGATCCTGGCACCTTGGGGCTCTCTTATTTAACTTTAGTTAAAATGTATCTCTTATAGTTACAGATGTAATTTTTATATCTTCTGGCTGATGACAGAGATCTTTTTAAAAATTTTTTTTTTTTTTTAAAGATTTTACTTATTTATTTGACAGAGAGATCACAAGTAGGCAGAGGCAGGCAGAGAGAGAGAAAGGGAAGCAGGCTCTTTCCTGAGCAGAGAGCCCCATGCAGGGCTGGATCCCAGGACCCTGAGATCATTACCTGAGCCGAAGGCAGAGGCCTAACCCACTGAGCCACCCAGGTGCCCCATGAGGACAGAGATCTTAAACTCCGTACTTTGCTTATAGTAGATATGTAATATATGGTTTTAAATTAGACTATTACATAGGGTGTAGAAATAAAGATAGAAATTGTAATGAGATCAGTGCTTGGTTAAAATATTAGGCAGGTTGTCGGGGAGCCTGGGTGTCTCAGTGGGTTAAAGCTTGTGATCTCTGTCTGTCAAATAAATAAATAAAATCTTTAAAAAATATATTAGGCAGGTTGTAATAGTGTAAAGTGATACAAACTCATAATAACTACAATAGGATTAATGTGATTTTGTTTTTACTGTATGATTATAAGTAGGTCAGTTGAGGAGAGCCAAGGGTAAGTATTAGTTGTTCTATGTAAGTGTCTTAGTCTGTGTAAATATGATGTAGTGTTATTTCTTTTAGTTTTTAGTGTACACTTGAAGAAAACATGAAATCTAAATAAAAGTTTTTCCTTTCTTTTGTAGGAGTCAAGGAAGGACTGAGGTGAGATTATTTCTATGAAAATTTTATTTAAAACATGAGATTATTTTACTATGTATTAGTAATGGTAAAGAGAAGGTGGTATTTGCATTCTGGAAAACTCCACATCAAACTAGTGGCTGATGGTGAGGAACACATAACAGTGTAAATGCCACTTTTGTGTGAATGAATGGACTCCTTTCTGGTTGTTAATTCTTAGCATTTTTCTGCTTTGACCTAAACTATCCCGTCTCGGTACTGTGAGGCTTACTGTTGCTTCAGTAATGCTTCAATATTATTTCAGCGTGGCAGAGGCATTTTTCTCTGGATTTTTCAGGGCTTTAGATTTTGACCCATTAAGTCTAGGACGTAATTGTGGCACCTATCACATAGTAGAGAAATATTTAACAAATGGTTCATAATCTTTCCTGTGTGGTTGGAAGATTAGTATTTCATGTTTATAAATCTTTTGATGTAAAATGTGATGTTCCTTTGGGGAGATCTGGTATATAGCAAAAATCATTTTGAAAGAACATCTAGCATGTGGTTTTTATTCTAATCCTCAATATTGCATTATCTTTGTAAATATTTAGTTGTATTTCTTAAAATATTAAAAAATGAAATAGTACCATGTACTCCTACACTAGTCATTAAAACCTAAAAACTGCTTTTGGGAGTGTTTAAGCTTTCTTAGTAAATAGCTCACTTTTTCCCCCCTTAAATACAGTTGATTTCTTTTTTTTTTTTTTTTTTTAAGATTTTATTTATTTATTTGACAGAGATCACAAGTAGGCAGAGAAGCAGGCAGAGAGAGAGAGCCCGACGCGGGGCTCGATCCTAGGACCGTGGGATCATGACCTGAGCCGAAGGCAGAGGCTTTAACCCACTGAGCCACCCAGGCGCCCCTACAATTGATTTCTTAATACTCTTACAATATTCACTCATTCAGCAAATACTGTTTCCCTTCTGTGGTGCCAGGCATTTTGCTATATATTTATTTATATTTATTAAATATTTAAATATATATTTAAGTATATGTATTCATAAGGATATAAATGTAACAAGACCTGATCCTTTGAATCACAGACCTTAAGGGAAAAAAAATTATTTCTGTTTTGGAAATAGAATTTCTTCAGCCGTAAACCACAGAAAACATTTGAAAGCTGTCACCTATCTTTATAATAGTAGATTAGTTCCATTATTCTGACAAATGGGAATATATTCTCTTTCTCTGCTTAAGTTTTATTTATTTTATTTGGGGTGGAGAGGAGCAGAGAGAGTCTTAAGCAGATTCTACAGTGAGTATGGAGTCTGATGTGGGCCTTGCTCTCACAACCCTGAGATCACAACCTAAGCCAAAACCAAGAGTTGGATGCTTAACTGACTCCACCACCAGGCGCCCCTAGATTCTCTTTTTATTTTTTATTTATTTTTTTTTTTTACAGATTTTTATTTATTTGACAGATCACAAGTAGGCAGAGAGGCAGGCAGAGAGAGAGAGGAGGAGGAGGCAGGCTCCCTGCTGAGCAGAGAGCCCCATGTGAGGCTCGATCCCATCCCAGGACCCTGAGATCATGACCTGAGCCGAAGGCAGAGGCTTTAACCACTGAGCCACCCAGGCGCCCCCCCAGATTCTCTTTTTATGATGAAATATTAAAGGTTTTTTGGATAAAGTTTTAATTAGAGAAATGGGTTTTTATTTTTTTATATTTTCCCAAAATTTTATTATGAAAAAGTCAAATAACAAGCAATGCTGCAAGAATTTCATGGTTAAGAGTAATTAATATTTTATTATCCTTAATATACCACATATTTACTCATCAGTTTTAGAGAAATGTTTTAATAAAATGTCTAGAAACAAAGATTCACATTTTTTAAAAAGTATTTGTTTTATAATCAGAATTTCTGTGAATGATACTTTGAATACTTAAACCTGTTGTAATAAGCTCTTGTTAATGTGTCTGTTAGGTGTCATTTACTTTGAATGAGGATCTTGCAAATATTCACGACATTGGTGGAAAACCAGCATCAGTCAGCACTCCTAGAGAACATCCATTTGTCTTACAAAGTGTTGGAGGACAGACATTAACAGTCTTTACTGAGAGCTCATCAGGTAAGTGGGAATAGAATTATTTAATGTGATTCCTGTATGTGTTGTATAGATTTTCTGTCTCAACATTTACTTTGAGGTCATTACCAAGGCTGCTCTACCTGTTGTTCTATCTCTATTCATATCATGCTATTTATTTTATTTCTCTAAGTACTCTCCTGTGATTAATGAAATTTTGGCTGTTACTCGAAGGGTTTAGTTTCCATTTGGGGTATGAAGAAATAGAACAAAGCAGATGGAAGATTGTGGTGCATCAAGCTGTCTTCTAGGATGTTGAAGAAACAGTATTCTGAGTTTTGCCAAGATAAGGTCATACTTGCCTGTTTTGGTAAATCAATATTCAGCAACTATAAGTTGTGCTTTAAAAAAATTTCTTAATATTAGGGAATATTTTAGTCAGAATTTTTGCTTTGGTGGGTTTCAATACTAAGAGGGACTTTTTAGTGCAGAGAGATGAACTGTTTGTAATTGGTTTTGACTTCCAAGAAGCTGTGTTAAGTATAGGTTATAAATTTTATGTGCTCTCAGATATTTTACCAGTTCAGTAATCAGGAGCAGGTGTTTCAGTTTGTGAATTAAATATAGAGGGAGCTTTTTGCAGTGTACATCTATGTTTATTTTCATTGTTATTTGATTTTTAACCTTACCTGAATTTAGACTATTACTATTAACGCAGCAGAGCAACTCACTTTAGTGGAGCTAACTTCTCATATATAATTTAAAAAATTTATTGGTTGGCTAAAGAAAATGATTTGTGGTTTTGTTGTATCTTCTTTAAATATTACAAAGAAAGCTGTAAGAAATTATAGGTGTTAAGAATGTTATTTTAAAAAAGAATATGTTCAGATAAATCTTTTGTGGTGTCTTAGATTACCAGTAGCTGTATAAACTGATCAAAAAAACAGTCTTTTTTTTTCCCCCCTCCTTAGATATAGAGTGTAACAAAATGGTAAATTATAGGGGTGCCTGGGTGGCTCAGTTGTTGAGCATCAGACTCCTGATTTTGGCTGATGTCGTGATCTCGGATTCCTGAGACTGGAGTCTCAGGTTGGTGGGGGTGGGGCTTCTCTCCCCCTGTCCCTCCCCTTGCTTGCTCTTGCTCTCTTTCTCTCTATAAAATAAATAATTCTTTTTAAAAATATCCAAATGGTAAATTATAACTTTTATATCATGTGGTTTAAGATAAAAATTTTGTTTTATTGCATTATTCTGATGTTACAAATTTGTAATGTAGTATTATGGGAGGAAGAAAATGTTAAACACATGCATTTTTCTCTTGGAGAGGATTCAACTACTCAAGAAATATTTATTGTATGCCACATGATGCAGGACATAGCATAGGTGTATCCAAGGACTCTGAAATTTGTTTTGTGATTGCTAAGATTTAGCAAGACCTATTGAACCTGTGAGGTTTTCTCTATCTTTGTGGTCATCTTTGGAGTAGAAGAGGCATATGGCACCAAAACAGGAAACAGGAGGCAGAACCTTGAACAAAAGTTGAACTACATTTGCAGAGAAAGGTACCTTATTTCAGCTTTTTTACATTTTACTAAGTTGCTCATTTTTCGAATGCATGATATATTATGATACAAAAGATAGTGATTTGCAAAGGTAAGGTTTGTTATTCTCAAAATTCATCTTCCATTTTAATCTTTTAAACCCTTTAGTTAGTATTGTGCTCTTTTTGAACATTTTGTGTTCACATTTCTGGTTACAGTGTACTCCAAAGTGAATATGGTATTATAAGGATTATCTTGGCAGGGATATGGAAGAGGATCAAGATTGTCATCCTTCTTCTGGAGTTTGGACAATATGTTCTTGCTTTGTCGAACTGTGGTGATACAAATGCAGATCTAAGTTACTGTTAGATGCTTCACACCCTAAGGAGTTTTTTCTTTCTTAATTTCTATCATTTCTGTTTCATATTATTGTTCCTTGGCTCTCCTTGTACCTTTCTGTGCTTTAATTTCCTTATTTGTGAGATGGAATAAAAATTATTTATATTTAGGTCTAAATAAGAATTTTTTAAAACACTTAGAATAGCACTCTACATTATAAATGCTCAGTAACTATTAGCTATTGCTGTTATTAATTTTAGATCTTATTTTTTAAAGATCTATATATGTATATGTATACATATATATTTTTTAAAGTAAGCTCCAGGCCAAGTGTGGGGCTTGAACTTATGACCCCAAGATCAAGTATCACATGCTGTACTGACTAAGCCCACCAGGTACTCCTATATTAGATCTTATTTTTTAAACACTTCAGGTTTCAAGTTTATTTTAAGGCATGTGCATGCATTTTAGCTTGTTTGTGTATATATCATCTGATTAACTTCAGCCAATAGAGATTTTTATGTTTGGTGTTTTTTGATTGCTTTGATGACTGAGAAAAAGCTCTTTAGAGTTGTCATTGTTAACAGTGTATTTCCTTGAGGGGCACTGTGTCATTTGCCATTTCTGATCTTTAAGGTCTCAGTTCTACAGCTGGGTCCCTTGAATCTCTAGGAAGTCATGAATAGACAGCAGAGGCTTGGTAATTGCATGACATATTTCAAATGTTAGATGTAGAGTTGCCTGGGTGGCTCAGTTGGTTGAGCATTCCACTGTTGGTCTCAGCTCAGGTCTTGATCTCATGTTTGTGAGTTTGAGCCTCACACTGGCCTCCACACTGGGCATGGAGCCTACTTAAAATTCAAAAGATATATATATATCTTTTGAATTTTGTGTATATATATATACACACACACACATACATATATATGCATATTTTTCTGTGGAACAGGACTGTAGCTTTCATTGGCGACTCCGAGGGGTCCGTGACCCAAAAAAGCTTCAGAGTCCACACTCTAGTATTAGCTTGGTTGATCATGAACTGGCCAAAGTGTGAATAACTGAACCATTTTACAGTGAGTAAAGCCGTTTATTTTACAATGAAATATGCATAAAGCTGGCATTATCTTAAATATTTTTATGTTTTCCCTCAAGCATAGAGCTGTGCCAGCTTATAAAAAATTGCTTTTTTTGGCTCTTCACTTTTGTTTAATAGTCTGTAGGTCTATAAAACATAGAATTTGATAAGAAGAGTTAAAACCTCACTTGTTCAATGTGTTAGAAGTTTAATTTTAATAACTTTATTCCTTCTATAATACACATTTTGCTGGTTTTTGAGAGGCCTCCTTGAACCAATTTTTTCTAATGATTCAGTTCTGCATATTAGAGCATCTTTGTGGGGATGGAGTTTGAGGAGACTGATGATATCTTTTGCATTATCTCCTAATACAATCTGCATTTCATGAGTGTTTTATGAACACAATTTATTTCTAGTTGAGTATTCCTATCTGAGGGAACATGTTTTATTTTTAAGGACTGTTTTGGGTTGGCCCCTTTTTTGGTCCACATTTCCCTATGAAATTCTAAATCTATTTCCCTGTTAAATATTTTTATTAGCTAATATCCTTATCTTTCTGCCTTTGTCTAAGGAGAAATTCTTCATGTGTTTAGTCTTTATTTTTCTCCCCTTGGGTCTTTGGTTTAGTATTTTTAGCTACTACTGGTAATTAAATAACTTCGATTTCTTCGTAATTTACATCCCATCTTTGTTCAAACTTAGGTTTTCTTTATAATTGCAAATTCTAGACTAAAATTGTTCATTCATCTGTTTAACAGATTTTTTTTAATGCTGGGCCCTGTGTTAGAATAAGGCTAGACTGGCATACCTGGGTGACTCCGTGAGTTGGGCATCTGCCTTCTACTCCGGTCATGGTCCTAGGTCCTGGGATGGAACTTGTCAGGCTCCCGGCTGAGTGGGGAGTCTGCTTCTCCCTCTGCCTCTCCCTCTGCTTTTGTTGCCTCGCATTCTCTCAAGTAAATAAATAAAAATATTTAATAAAAAAAATCAGACTTCTATTCGGCTGGGCAGCTGGTATACTCACTATAGAAAGTGCTCTAATGGAGTTGTGTATAAAGAAGAAAAAAGAGTAAATGAAAGAACTGGGAAAGACTTCAAATGTGGAGATAATATTTGAGCTGGACCTTGAAGTAAGGATGCCTTGATAGGAGGCAAGAAGGTAAGATAGAATGCATTTTTCTTGCCTCCAAATAGCCTGTTCTTCACTTTGCTTTCTCCTACCTGTCATACTTTATCGTAATCTATCTAAAAATCTATTAAATAGTCCTGGTTACATCAAAGCAAAATAGCTCAGTTGTGGATTTGATAGTCTAGTTTAGAGATGAAAAAGTTTGACCTGGTGCAGTGGAAGTGGAAAAGAGAATACTGTTCTAGAGACAGGAGAGGTAATTTTGACAGCTTTTGGTGATGAATTAACTGGGAGAATTGGATGAGTGGGAAGTCCAGAATGGTTTCCAGGCTTTTTCAGCTTGAGCATCTGGATAAGTGGGGAGACCATTACCGAGTTAGAAAATATTGGAAGAGATGGGCAGGATTAAAACTGATGGACCATGGTGGTGGTTTTGCTCTAAGTTTTCATTATCTTTGACCCCTCTGCAGCAGTTCATTAATTCAGCAAACTGATATTTGTACCTACTGTCTGCAGGACCTCTTTTATTTAGACTTGGGATACTTTAGTGAGCAAAATCCCAGCCTTCCTAGTGCTTACATTTTAGTAAAAGGAAACAGCAACAAATAATAAATGTAATGAATAAATCTTTTTGCAGTCTAGAAGGTGGTGAGTTATCTGGGGAAAAAAGCAGAAAGTGGAATCAGGAGTCCTGAGTTGAAGGTGGGACTTTCAAGTTTAATATTTTAATTTATTTTTAAGTCGGCTCTGTACTTAACCAACATTGGGCTTGACAGTAAGGTTTGTATTAGTCATTTTGCCCCTGAATTAAACCTTACGGGCAGGTTACTGTGTCTCATCCTTATCACCGTTGTGTGTGGGCTAGGATTGGCCAATAGTGGATGGGTGTATTAAAGCATAGGTGTTAAAATAGTTTATTTTCCCCAAAGAATTACTACTACTCTAAAGGTACATTCTATAA